TCTGTAAGAATCAAACATCTTGGGAAATGAAAATTTTCAACCCCCCTTCAAATTTTGCATGCAGTTAGGCACTCAGGGCGGATGCACAAAAATGCCCTTTTTAAAGATTGCAGCACTCATGTTGCCATGGTAACAACGGCTGCTTGTTCGAGGCCTGGGGCCTTATTTTCTTACAAAAAACAGCGCAAAATAGTGTAAAATGTTTATTTCTCTATCTCAAGCTAAATACAACATTACAGATTGGTACTTCTAGCATTAAAAAAACCGCTTAAATCAAGTGAAATCGGTAAAATAACGACACCAGGAGCAAACAATACAAGTATGGAATAAGGTAAGCCATTTTTATTTAATATTTTCACTTTTAACTATCTCTATGGATATCTTGTAGAAAATCCCGTACAAATCCTTATAAATCGATATGCAAATTGTATTCCTTCTGTGGTTCTCAAAGAGAGCTTGGGCCGCCTGTGGCTAGATAAAGCAAAGAAAAGCTTACAGACGCTACAAGAATTATTCCCTCTCTTCGAAAACTGCTCTCGCTAGATGCCTTGTTTCGCAAAATACCAATAACGGCCGATTGGTAATCGACGAAAGAAGATTCGCTGACTAATAGACTTTATTATCCAACTAGATTTCGTAAAGTACAAATAACGCCATAGACGAGTGCAAATATCACGCGGTATTTGTGCTCGTCTATGGTAGAGTACCGGTTAAACAGGTTTTCTCCCATCGCGCAAGCGAAGAATTGGATTGTAGTTACGAAAAAAATGCTGACAATTTGAATCATATTTCCGACAACGAAGAGTCAGAATGGCTGGAAAATATAGATCAAAGTTTATTAGATGAATTGAACGAAGAAATAACTTATTAGACGTTTTGTTGTGTAGTATCGCTGAGTATTTTTAGTCGTTATTTGTGTTTGACTCGCCCTACGGGCACGTCAAAATACGGCACAACTCGTAAAAACACTCAGCGATACTACACAACAAAACGTCTAATAGGAAATCTATATTCACAGGCGCTCTGCTTCCGAAAATTATCTTGATACAGATCTCTTTAGGGAAATAGGTGGCTAATTCGAATCAAAGAGGAAAACAAAAAATCTGCCCTTTGATATTGCTTTAGAATGTCTACCAGTACGTATGTAGTTATATATTGTTATTAAAACCTACAAATTTTTTTCAATTTTTGCCTGAGGCTTAGTGCAGTCGATAGCTTACCAACAATTTATATTTTTCGACTCTTGTTCTCTCTTTGTCCTGGTGTAAAGTTATTTACTATTCATTCTCACGCGAGAGAATGCGTGACACTTCCGTTCTAAGTCACATACTGTAAAATGGCGGGAAATAGTGTGCAATGCAAATGACTGCGTAACAATATATTTCGAGAAGAGAGGGCAAATTTTTCTTGTCATTTCTAAGGCTGTATTTTTTTTCTGTCGCAAGATAATTTTCAGAAGCAGAGCGCCTTAAAAAAATGGTCAGTGAACCTTGCTTCGTCGCCTACAATCGGCCGTTATTGGTATTTTGCGAAACAAGGCATCTAGCGAGAACAGTTTTCGAAGAGAGGGAATAATTTCTTGTCGCGTCTGTTAGCCTGTCTTTGCTTTATCTAGCAAGACCATTTTCGGGAGCAGAGCGGCTTACGAAATTGTCTGCGCACCTTGTTTCATTTCGTTTCGCAAAATACCATACCTTATTTACTCGAATAAGCGCCGCCCTCGAATAAGCGCCGCACCCCCGATGCGGTGCTTATTCGAGGAACTCCGTATATCCAGGGAAACACTATAAAACAATTTTAACACAGCACCGGCAATTTATATTCTTTAAATGTGATGTTCTTTAGTTCAAAGTGACTGTATTTCTCTGCTCGGATTATCATGAAACGCTCGGGGTTTTTTCACCGCATGAATTTCTCTCGTAATTCTAGATTTACTATCAGTTTAGCATCGGTCCCTAGGAAAATTGACAGATAGAAAGTGTACCGTTGAATAAAAATAGAGAAAAAGTAAATTTGTCTGGTACAATTTTTAAATAAGCGCCGCCCTCGAATAAGCGCCGCACTTGTGGCGCGAAAAATTAAATAAGCGCCGCGGCGCTTATTCGAGTAAATACGGTAAGCCGTCCGTTATTGGTATTTTGCGAAACAAGGCATCTAGCGAGAACAATTTTCGTAGAAAGGGAATAATTTCTTTTCACGTCTGTAAGCCTGTCTTTGCTTTATCTAGCAAGACAATTCTCGGGAGTAGAGCGCCTAAAGAAATTGTCTGCGAACTTTGTTTCGTTTCGTTTCCTTTCGCAAAATACCATAAGCCGGCCGCTATTCGTACTTTGCGAAACAAGGCATCTAACGAGAACAGTTTTCGTAGAGAGGGAATAATTTCTTGTCGCGTCTTTAAGCCTGTCTTTGCTTTATCTTGTAAAGATGAAAATAAACAATTTTAATATAAGAGAAAAATCGAGTTTCCATCTGGAAACTCGATTTTTCTCTTTGCTTTATCTAGCAAGACAATTTTTGGGAGGGGCAACCCTAAAACCGGAATTTCAGCAACTTCCGAAAACACGCGTGATATTAATCCCATGGTAATCCCATGCGATTACCCATACAAATCAGTACATGTTTACAAGACCGGTTTCCGGTTTCCGGTTTCCCGGTTTTAGGGTTGCCCTTTCGGGAGCAGAGCGCCTAAAGAAATTGTCTGCAAACCTTGTTTCGTTTCGAAAATTACCGTAAGCCTTTGTGGCGATTAATCCACAGAATAAATTCGGTAACAGATGGAGATTTCAGTGGAACGATAGTACCTTATAACTTTAGCTCTTGTCTTTAGTTCCAATTCGCCATTTCGCTATTTCAGTCGCCATTTCGCTATTTCGCTATTTCATCGTTTCGCCATTTCGCTATTTCGTCATTTCGCCATTTCGCGTTTTAAACACGCCCTTTTTTCGCGTTTTGTTCGCACTTTGATCATTAAAATATCCTCAACCGAAGAGCCAGCAAACACCATGAGTATCCACAGAGTTAGAAATGTTGGTGAACTTGTCATACTCCTTCATCCATCTTCAAAAAATATTACAAAAAGGTGTCGATCGTCCAGTTGAAACCTCGCAGAAACGCGTCGAAAACGCTACAAATGGCGCCGAACGCGACCACAGGACGCCCACACAAGCGGCGTGTCTGGTCGTTTGTCCAAAATATAAAGAAATGCATGGGAGAATATTGAAGAGTCGTAATATCGTAAACTTATATCGAGGAATGTATGTGTTAAGGCTCAAAATAAATTTAAACCTACCTCACTTGCCGTGTATTGTCGTTTCTGTGGTTCTGAATGGCGAATTTGAGCGATTTGGTAGATTTTGCGTTGACTGTTACTCTACTCCTTCTTATACAGTATAGTCTTATTCTTTACATTTATTTTGAGCCTTAACATAGACATTCCTTGATATAAGTTTACGATATTACGACTCTTCAATATTCTCCCATACATTTCTTTATATTTCGAACAAACGACCAGACACGCCGCTTGTGAGGGCCCCCTGTGACGCGACAAACTAATTCCACTCGCGCATGTGCAGACAAAATGCCTCTCTGCTTCGAAAGAATCGATACTCTACTCTTCGCTAGTACTGTACCGATATTTTTCGCTCCCACCTCGGTATCGCTGGCATCGAATATTTGGTATCGGTATCGGCCCATCCCTACTATCTTGTGAAAACGATGCATAGTTTGGCTTCTAAGGTGAGCACTTTGTACTTAATTCAGTAAATGTACCACTCACAGTAATCCTACTGTACTGGAAATACCCGCATGCTGTAAAATTACTCTAAGTCAGCTAGTAAACTCTTCTACTTCTATATGTGTAACGTGTTTGTTAATAAAGTTGAGTTAGCCTTTGGTAATGAAGGAGAAACAGTCACTTTGTGTCTGAATGACGACACTACACTTTCTCTCAAACTTGTAGATTATAATTTTACCATTTTGTGTTTCTCGTTCTCGGAAATGGACGATTATAACTCTTACTGTATTCGACCGGTAGACAATTTGCGAAATACAAACAGCTGTGATGTGTTAGGCGACGGAGGAAGAAAAGCTCTGGATGCCTGTGTAAAGGTCAAAATTTACGGCAAACTAGAAACACGCAGATATGACCGACTGACAGCAGTAGGGCGACTTCAGGGCTGTTTTCGTCCAAGGCTACCAAGATGGTTGCATTTTCACGAGTTCGCACTACCCGCTGATCGAGATGGGGATCCCATCGATTATGCCAAGACATACACCATTAATGATATTCATGACGCATTTTTTAAGCTTGATGACATTCCCTTCGTTGAAAAATACCCAAAAAAAGGGCCTGGTTCGGAGGAGACGAGGATGTTGATCGATGAACGAAGAGATGCCGTTGAAAGAGAGTTGGAGGAAGCGAGAGCTAAATGCGCTGAGACGGAAACTTTTCACCTCGAGCAAAGCTTTGTCGCAGGGCCCAAACAAACACGGCGACCAACAGAGCTTCTTGTATATGTCCGTGTTAAAACACACGAAAGGACTCTAAAGCACACTTCCCTCTGATTGGGCAGAAAAACACAAAGATTTTCTGGCACCAATCAGACGCCAGAACGACTGCGACCGTTTGGATCTAGTCTTGTAAGACAATGTACCCAGGGGCTCTTCCGCCCAGACTTGAAATCGACTCACATCCCCTGGGTCTCCGAAGATTGTGTGAAAGCAATGTCCGTACTTTCTAGGTGATCTGTGACGTCATTGCGGGGGCCTGGGGAAAGAAATTTTAATGCCGTATCCCATAAACAAACGCGCGCGCCAATTCAATTTGTTTTCGAAGCATGGCGGTCGGTCGGACGCCATGCGGGAAAGTTTGCGACAAAGAAATGTTCTGAAAGACAGCTATTGTTCTGAAAGGTGAAAATTTTACTCACTTGGATGGCTTCTGTGAGTCCAATGCTGGGATAGTATTCTCGACTCAGCGCTCGATTCTTTCCCGCAGAAGACTGTTTTAAAATTCATTTCCATCAGGGAGTACATTTTGACGACGTACTCAGTTTTATTGTGCGATGGTAATGTGCTTAAGAGACGTACACAAGCGAACTACCCGGCTCTGACGAGAGTCGGATCTTTCAAGACCGGATACCTTTCCTCGGGATTTCCATGGACGTTCGAGCTTGGTTGGTAAGTTGCCTGAAGGCCTCCATCGGCTGCTCGCTTCAAGGATGGAATTTTTTGTAGCAGCTCTTTCAACTGGCTCAATTTAGGCTCATTTTGACGCATCAGTCCCNTAATAGTTTACAATTTTACCATTTTGCGTTTCTCGTTCTCAGAAATGGACGATCATAACTCTCACTGTATTCGACCGGTAGACAATTTGCGAAATACAAAAAGCTGTGATGTATTACGCGACGAAGGAAGAATAGCTCTGGATGCCTGTGTAAAGGTCAAAATTAAAGGCAAACTAGAAACGCGCAGATATGACCGACTGAAAGCACTAGATCGACTTCGGGGCTGTTTTCGAGCAAAACAAGCAAAGGGATGTGATTCATGGTTGGATTTTTGTGAGTTCGCACTACCCGCTGATCGAGATGGGGATCCCATCGATTATGCCAAGACATACACCATTCATGATATCCATGACGCGCTCGTTAAGCTTGATGACATTCCCTTCGTTGAAAAATACCCAAAAAAGGAGTCTGGTTCGGAGGAGACGAGGGTGTCGATCGATGAACGAAGAGATGCCGTTGAAAGAGAGTTGGAGGAAGCGAGAGCTAATCTAAACGGAGGACGGAGGTATTCTTTTACGGTTGCACAGCGTAGAGTCAGGGATTGCTATGCTAACAACTTGGCAGGGAATGATGCCACTATCAAAGCACTTCCATTTACGCGCTCATTCAACATTAAGGACATTTATAAGGCGGTTCATTTCCACGATGATCAAAGTATCGAAACAAGCTGTGTACCAAATGGGCATGTATATGAGAAAATACGTGCGACTAGGGCTAGTATCGAGAGAGAATATGAAAATGCTGCGACTCTTTCTGAAACTCCTCACAGATACAGCGGAGATGAAGCAGACCAACTCTTGAGAAGTTGCTATTTTGATACAGATGTTCCTTTTCAAAGATTTGCTGGTGAGGTTGATATTTTGCAACTTCGTGGAATGCTTCACTATTATGATAAAAGAATACAACCTCACAAATACCCTGCTAAAGGGCCTGGATCTGAAACGCTAAGGAAGTCAATTGATGAACACAGAGCCAAGTTGAAAGAAGAATACGAGACTTATTTAGCCTCTTGTGGTAATGGACAGAAACCCCATGAATATTCCCGCAATGAGGCAGAGCATAGAGTGAGAGACTGTTTTGCAGGTAATTTTGAATACAAGTTGCTTCTCAGTTAAGTCGAGGATTTGCCAAGAATCGAGAAACTAACTTGGAGCTGCAAAGATAATTTTCAAATCATATTTTTGTATGGGAGGGAGTGGGTGGAGGGTGAATAAAAGTGTATTAAGTGTCTTAAAGATCTACCACAGCAGAAAATTTATTGATATTGTTTTTCAAGTTGCATCATTATGATCTTTTTCCTAAAAGTCTGAACTAGGGTCACACTGAACCACATCCCAAAGTTGAACCTAACATTGGGTTTTTGCCAAAGCCATTTGTTTCAAGATGGGAAAACAGACTAACTAATTGAAGAAATGATAAATAAATAGTTAACCAAGAGAGTCTGGAAGTTCTTCCTCTCTGCAGAAAAGCTTTTTTTTTCTTTTTTGAGAATATATGTACTGAAAATTAACATGGTATTGCAACATTTTCTATAACTCGGTATACAGTCAGAAATAAGGTGACACTTTGGCCAGTATTTGAAAATTGGTGGTTGGCTGAGTAAATTCTAGATCTGCTCACAGAACCTACACATTTGTGAATAAACTTCATGTCCCCACACAATTTTAAGCAAAAGCTGGTTGTGATTGTATGCAAGTCCAATTATGGCAGATACCAAGCTTAAAGCAGGGAACTAACTTCACCCTTGGACCCCTAACAATGACTAGGATTTAATTTTTCTTTACAATATTATCACTCCTCAATGATGCATACATGATCCATCACCAACTAAAGAAGCTCCCTGTTAGCTCAATTGGTTAGAGCGCCTGACTGTTGTGCGGGAGGTCAAGGGTTCAAGCCCTGGCCAGACCAACACTCAAGGTCATAAAATAACTGAGAAGAATGTGCTACCTTTCTATAATATCAAAAAATGGATAGACATTCTTATCTTCTCGGATAAGGATGAATAAACAATAGGTCTCGTCTCCTGCATCTATTGATTAGTTAATTTGGTTAGGCAAGGGATGTTAAAGAACCCACTTACAAGATTACTGTGATGTAGTCGGGCCTGTTTACTAGGAATTGGTGGGGGGGGGGGGGTGTTAATGTGGGATCCACTGTAATTGGCTAAAGCTGTGGTGGTCTCCCTGCCTGAAATAATTAGGCAAAGCTAAATACATGTAAAAGTGATTGTTCCACAAAATTTTTAGCACTTTAGGAAATGTATAGAGAACAGTATGGAGAATATGCATACCGATATGTTGGGGTGTGACAAGTTAAGGCAAACTGGAGCCAAATAAATTGTTGTTTTAGTGGTTATGTGCATCTTAGGGGCATTTAACTTTCATACAGCTTTGATGCAGGAGATTGGTATAATTCTTTCCAGGTACCTTTCCAGGGGATGGTGACATGTTTCCCTTAAAGGAAGATGACAGTGGAATGCCAAGGTTTTACCAAACATTCGACATCTCTGACATAAAACAATCTATTGACTACTTTGATGATAAAAAGCTACTTGAGAAATATCCAGAAGAAGGAGCACATTCTGAAGAATTAAAAAAAAACGTTGATGAACATAGGAATAGTATCAAAGAAGAGTGGGAGGAAGCCGCTTCTATTAATGAAATTCAGCATGGCTCTGGATTTATCATCCAAGATCACTTTGTACTCACCAACAAGCATGTGATAGATACCTACATAGATGATGAAGACAGATTAGAAATTTGCATTTCTAATGCAAAGATTCAGGGCCTGCCTTGTGAGGGCCTGCCTTGTGAGGGCCTGCCTTGTGAGGTCCTCCATTTTGATCCAGGAAAAGATGTTGCATTGCTGTATTGCAAAAATCTTGATTTGCAACATAGTTGTATATTTCCATTGCAATTATCAGTGCAGCCATTGCTGCCTGGAATGCAGATATTTTCTTTTGGTTATCCCATAAGTCACACAGATAAAACTGCTCTTTTTGTGACTGGGAATGTCTCTGGTTCCAGGGAGACCTTATCAGGTCATTCCTTGACAGTATTGAACTGCTCATTAAACCATGGTAATTCAGGGGGTCCAGTACTTGCCTGGGTTGATGATCACGTTACTGTTGTTGGCATTGCAACACAGAAGCATATTAAAGATATTTTAACACCAAATGAAAGTCTGACAATTGAAAAGATAAAGAAATCCTTGCAAACGCGCACAATTTCTGATGTACCAGGCCATTTCTTTGAAGGAAGATACACTTGGACAGAAATTCCAGAACCTTGTCAAGTCTCAATTCATCTGCTCACTTTGAAACTGTATGATGCTCTGGAAACACACTCGTCATTCAATTTGAGTAATGCATTGCCAGGAAAGTTGGTGGTGGAGTTTATCAAAGATGCAATCACTAAATGTGACACAGAGCAGAAAAAAGAGCTGAACAAAGTACTTGAAACACTTAGGTGATTTTTTTTTAAACTCTAGTCTAGGAATACTTTTCAAACCTATTTTAATGTTGCTCAAAGGGATATTTTTGTTTTTCTTTTCAAAACAGAAAACAATTTTGATTTACAGGCAGACCTGTTTTAGACTGGGTCAGAATTTGTCGCAAAACAATGCACGCATATACAGTTCAAGAATTCTGTTTTACATTTGAACTCCTGATATTTGATAAATCATTGTGCTGTGTCAGTGTTGTACATATCATTATTAAAAACTGGATTATTGGATAATGCAATTCAAGACTTTTTATTGGCGTAGCCATTATGGCATATGAGCCACTATACCATAATCTACAAATATGGTAAGCGTACGTGTCAGCTTAAAATCAAAAGGGAGCTAAAAAATCCAGTTTCTTCTTACAAAATAATAATTTCTTGGGGGCGTTTTTAATAAAACAATTATTCCACTCGCGCTTGTTGGATATGAGATGATTATAGCCAACTCGGCGCTACGCGCCTCGTTGGCTATCTATCATCTCATATCCAACGCGCGCTCGTGGAATAATTGTTAA